ACAGTCTTCTAAGAAAGGGGTTCATAGATATCACTAGCCCATCAAAGGAGTCCATGGCATGCACACACACACAAAAAAAAAAAAAAAACAGTTAAGACACTCTGTGTTAGAATGTTTTGTTTTACTTGTAACAACTTTTTACAAGGAGGAATACCTGTAGCGACATGTTCCTAATTTTAAGAAAGCCTTCCAGTATTCCATACTAGTTGAGGTTATTCAATCTAAATAAACTAGCATAGTGGCTAAGACACTTGCCTGCTAACCAGACAGCTGGCGGTTCAAACCCACCAGCCACTCCTCGGAAGGAAGGTTGGGCAATCCTACTTCTGTAGTGATACTGCCTCGGAAAACCAAGGAGGGGTCGCTATGAGTCGAGTTTGACTCGACAGCACATAACAACAACAACAACAAACTATGACATGCGCAGCAGGTTGATGAGGAATAATATAAACCACATGTGGCAAGTATACTTTATAACATTAAGTAAACCATTTTCTGCAACAAACATTCTAACTCTACCAGCACTAATAGTTCTACAAGCACTGATACTCTCAAGGTTAAAAAGACAAGTCCTAAAGAAAATAAAATAAAAGTCCTTGGAAATTTTAAAAACAAACCTTTGAGTATTGTAGGAAAGCGCTTTGTGCTTTTGGAAAACAGACTTAGACAGCAACTCAACTTTTTGATGGTAAGACATAGAATAAATATAGATTTAACTTAAACATTATTTTAACTAGTGAATAAATATTCACTATTATTGTTTTTAGTTGCAGTTAGTCAGCTCCAACTCATTGTGACTTTATGTGTAACAGAATAAAACACTACAATTGGGATAACAGCTTCCCAAGAAACCTGAAAGGCTGACAGAATTTATGAGCAATATATGTCCCATGGTCACAAAAAGGTTAACATGGATTACCCTGAGCTTCTGGACTATGTTAATACTTGAATTTGCTATAAGTTCTTATTACCCAAATTACTTCAATATGGGAGGAGTGGATAAAAGTTAACTTGAGATATTTATTAGTTACTGTGACAGATATATTGTGTGGAATTGACCTCAATGTCATGAAACAAAATGTGCATGAACTGCTGTATGGAAAATGAATTTGCTCTGTAAACTTTCACGCAAATCACAACAAAAAAAAATTTTTTTGAAGTTTGGAAAAAAAAAAATTACTGTGAAGGATAGATATTATTTGGTTCAGTACTCAGAGTAAATTTTTCACTTCCTTTATGGGATGAAATATATCATATTTGTAGCACATTTTATTTTCATATCAAATTATGTGTTTCCATTCTTAGTTTGAGAGTTTACTTTCCTTGAATTTTGAACCTATCACTCATTCCAATTGAACATTCTCTTCTTCTTTTACTCAATCTTTTTTCCTTACCCTAAGCACTTAGGTTCTTGGATAGGCCCCTTACTTTTCAAGACATAAAATTCAATTATCAGACTTTATTCCCTTATAGAATAGTTTCCTAAGCTTTTTTTGTTGTTGTTTGTTTTGGTAACAGCTTCCTCTACTTTAAAGGACACATGATAAGAGCAAACAGACATTGTATTCTACACTTCATTAACAATATTTTAATTTATCTCTGGGGAGAGATGGCATAGGAGAGAAATATAGAATAATTCTTTTCATTCCATATGAAATTACTGTTTTTAGTATTGAAATCTGTTCAAACTACTCATCTAAGACTTATTGCCAAGTCTTACATCAATAAGTCTTAGACTTATTGATGACTTATTAGCCAAATTCCAAGGTTCTTGTCCTACTTCTTATCCTCTTAAATTTACTTTTATTCAGCACTATCACCTAGCCTATCCTCAAAATTTATTAATCATAGGATATGGCTCTCTTTCCTTCCATTCAGTTTGATCTTTCAGAAATGCATTTCTTCCTTTTTTTATCAGCTACTACACATTGAATAGATACCTAAGTGGTACAGTTTGCACCTGTCAACCTAAAATTTGTAGGTTTGAACTCACCCAACAGTACCCCCAGAAGATAGGCATGGTAATCTGCTTGTGTTAAGATTACAACCAAGAAAAACCTATAGAGCAGTTCTACTCTATAACACATGGGATTGCCACAGGTAGGAATCATCTCAACAGCAACTAACAACAATAATAGGATGATTCTCTTTGCCATCTGAACTGTCTCCCTCAGGGAGTTGCCCAGTTTTCATCTGCATTTTAATCATGTTTGAAATCTAACTCCAGTGCTTTGATTCCCTTCCTAATTTAATCCAAAAACATAAACATGGTTACTACTATCTCAAACTGAAAATCATGAATACCTATTTTTTAAATCTTCTTTTCAGAATCCTATATATCTTATGTTATTTTGCCTATCTTCTCTGAAATAAAGATAATACAAGTAATTTCTCTATCCTCTTAACAGTCTACTTTATGCTTTTTTAAGTCCCCTTTTCAGCTCAGTAACTTGCTAAGAATAGCACTCATTTCTCTTTCCACTGCCAAATCCCTTTGCTAAGGCCTATTTATTGCCTAATAGGATTACTACGTATTTCTTCAAGATTTCTCCATCTTCATCTTCAGTTTCTATCTTTTGTTGCTGTTATTGTTGTTCTTGTTCTTGTTAGCTGCTATCAAGCAGGCCCCTGACTCATGACAACCCAAAGCACAATGGGATTGAACCACTGTGATCCACAGGGTTTTCATTGGATGATTTTTCAGAAGTAGATCACCAGACCATTGTTTCTAATCCATCTTAGTCTGGAAGCTCTGCTGAAACTTGTTCAGCATCATAGCAACAGGCAGGTCTCCACTAACAGACAGGTGGTAGCTAGGCTTGAGGTACATTCACTGGGAATCAAACCCGGGTCTCCCACATAAAAGGTGAGAATTCTACCACCGAACCACCACAACCTCCTTCCATTCTTTAGTCATACATAAAATCCGAATTTTGTCTTTTAAATCTAGTGTTAGTTTTTTCCCTTTCATCAACTCTTTACTTACCTACTTCCTTTTCAAATTTCTTATCATTAAATATTATAGTCTCCTTTCAGTTTTCCCATGTTCATCAACCTAAATTTTTTCATGGATATTTCTTTAAGCTATAATGAAACTAAGGCTGCTCCCTGTTCTCTCTAGGCACATTGAGCATTCAGTCAAGCAGTTCCGCTTACATAGAACAGTTTGACTTCACTGATAGGACCAGAGCATACTGAGTGACAGCCAATAAGATATGGTTAGTTGACTAGGCATGAATAGATGACTATTCATTTACTAAGTATACCATAGGAGCTCTGGTAGCATAGTGGCTAAAACACTTGAATGCTAACCAGAAGGCTGGCAGTTCAAACCCACCAGCCACTCCTTGGAAGGAAGGTTGGGCAATCCTACTTCTGTAGTGATACTGCCTCGGAAACCCAAGGAGGGGTTGCTATGAGTCAGGCCGACTCGACGGCAGATAACAACAACAACCATAGATTTCATTCACTCAACAAATATTTATTAAGCACCTATCATATGCTAGCCAGTATTCTGGACAAAGAATACAACAGTGAACAATATTAACTGGTACAGGACAGTATTCAGCATGTTAGTAAAATCTGTTTTACTATATAGCTACCAGAAAGTCAGATCAGCCTATACAGTTTAGCAAACCAGACAGATTTGAATCCTTAGAACCATACTGCCCAAAAATGTAACCACTAGCTACATGAGGCTATTTATCTATAATGAAATTAAAAATCCATTTTCTCCATTGGACCTGTTGTTAGGTGTCAGTGAGTCAGTTCTGACTCATAGTGACCCTGTGTATAACAGAACTAAATACTGCACAGTCCATCCCTTGCACTAACTACCATTTTAAGTGCAATATAGACACATATATAAGGTTTGTGTTCCATCAACACCGAAAGTTGTTGGACAGTGTTGCTCTAGAGATATTGGAAACAATACGGAAAATTTTGAACCTATCCAAAATAAATAGATAGAAAAATGTGTCTGTGTGTGTATGTGTGTGTGTAGATATTGATATATATCTTAGGACAACTTGTTCTCCTATATTAGAAATTGGCTTAGGCCCAAAGTGCCAAAAGAAATACTCTGGATTATAAGGCATAGGTACCATATTCCTATCCTGCCAGTGTCAACTTGAAGGGTACATTTTGCATTTTGGACACCTTTCTAAATAGCCTTCTGCCAACTTCTACTGTCCCTTTAAAAACATGTTTTTAAAACCCATCTAGTAATGTTTTCAAAAGTAGAATATTATACATAGTGCATTATAATCTGTGCTCACCTGTTCCTTATTTTTACATACTAACATTTATGTCATTAGAGATTGTCTAATACAGATTGTAAGCTCTGAGAGAGCAAGGACAAAGCCTTTCCTGAGTTCCTAATTCCTCCTACTGTAATAAAACCTACTATAATAGTAAAAAAAAAAAAAATGCCATCGAGGCCATTCCAATGCATAGTGACCCTATAGGACAGAATGGAACTGCTCCATTGAATTTTTAAAACTGTAATCTTTAAGGGAGGAGCCCTGGTGGAGCAGTGGTTAAAGCACTCAGCTGCTAACCAAAAAGCAAATTAAACTCATCAGCTGCTGTGTGGGAGAAAGATGTGGCAGTCTGCTTCCATACATATTGTCGTGTTAGCCTTGGAAATGCTATGGACCAGTTCTACTCTGTCCTGTCAGGTCATTATGAGTCAAAATTGACTTGGTGACAGTGGGTTTGAGTTTGGTTTTTTGGTTTAATCTTTATGGAAGCAGACTGCCACCTTTCTCCTGCAGAGCAGCTGGTAAATTCAAACCACTGATGTTTTGGTTAGATTCAAGCACTTAACCACTGCACTACCAGAGCTCCTTACTTTAATATCAGTACTACATAATCTACACATATTCAGTAAATGTTTATTGATGTATTAAACTCATCTGTCCTAACTTATTCTCATTCTTTTTTGTTGTTGCTGTTGTTCAGTCTCTCTGATCTATATTTTGTCTCTCTTTACTTAACAGACAGTGTGGAGCATTCATTATTAAGACAATTGGGCAGCTCTAGTCCAGCTCAACTGATTTCTTGTCCAATGATCCTTGTGTGGCCGAGATCCAACTTCAACAAACCGGCTAGAAGCTGCCCGTTGTGAAATTTAGGGTTAGTTAATACCTCACCATACTACATATTCCAACTATAAGCTGTCTAAATTTGATGAAATTTGCCCTTTCAGCAGTTCTACAAAATATTTAGATAGGTGTGGCATGATGGTTTTTTATATGTATTAATCTAACTATAGTGACATTTTATATAACAGATGTTTTATCCATTCCATAAATAATAACTAAATTGAGAATAGTAAGGTGTCTTTCATTTTCTCTGCTTTGTGTTCTTTTCTTCACAGACTTTTAGATGTTATGTTTCATATTCTTTGATATTTATTTTCATGGTTGGATAAGAATCACTTCTAATAGAATTTTTAATATTTCATGCCTTTTAGCATATAGTTTACTATTTAGTCTTAATAATTTATTTCTACCACTTTGCTGTGAAATTCTATTTTGTACTTAACATGTTTTATCTAATTTTTCAGTAGTTTGTTACTGCTCTTCCTTATGAATTTTGCTCCTGCCATGATTTTCAGAATTCAAATATGATTTCCACTTCTTTTTTTATAACATTTTCCAAATATTAGAAGTACCATCAACATTATCAATATTCTTACCTTTCCATATGTTTAATTTGCCTACATTATTTTTTTCTCTAATGGTTGCAATAATACTGGAATCTTCCTATAACTTAATCCATTTAGTACCAAATTTTATATGATATGGGTCCCACCTAATGGAATTGTGTTGATAAAAAACTCACCTCTGACATGATCCCATAACATTAACTGATATTGCACTAAATACTAATGTTCTTTGAATGCTTTATAGTCTTTTGACCTTTTCTTCTTATGTTACCAATCTATACAGTTATATGTTATTAATTTTAAAAAGGAAGTTGTTTTCTAAAAAGGAAACTATTTCTTACACTGTAGATTTTCATTCTAAAGCCAATTATTTTATTATAAAAGTGAAAAGTAGGGAGAAAGTTCATTGTTCAGAAGCTACAGAACAAATCATAAGATTTTTAATCACTAAAATTTTATAACATGAAAAAAATTCCTTATTTATATGCATTTGCAGTTATTTCACTAACTTCTTTTTAGGAGACAGGGGACAAACCATAAAAATGGGCCATACTCTAAAAAATCTACCTCTTCTTCTCCTATTCCATTTCCAAATGTATTCCATGTTCAGCAGTAACAGCAGAAATAATAATACATAGACTGTTAAAGTCTTCCCTTGGTGAGTAAAATAGGATATTTTCTTTTGAAACCATATTGAGTTTGTTTCCAGTCAAATGGTTTCATGAGAACCACAGGATTCTATGACGGTATACTACCTAGCATACAAGTAACCCATGTACATTAATTATTCTCAGTTTTCAGAGATATAAATGGACTAGTAAGTCCTACAATGAAACTTCAAAAGTTTTTGTTCTTTAAGTAAAAATTATTAACCACTGATGTTAAAGATCTTCTTTGAAAAGCACTATACTTGAGAACAAAAAGTTTATGTTTTAATTTTCAAAATGTTAAATGCAATGCTAAACAAATCATGGACTGTTAATAAAAATTAGTATTATCAAGTCAGGAATTTTGATAATAATTAAAACCCAAGTTTCTCCCACAGAACTATATAGATTATGTACATGCACACGTGTGTGTGTGTGTGTGTGTGTGTATATGCAATTCATACATATATGTTGTTGTTATGTGCTGTCGATCATACATATATACTTACTAAGAATTTAGTTTTGTTTTAAGAAACTAATGAAACTTTGGAATTTATTGATAGCCTGAATATATAGGAGGATATCATCCAAGCTTCTTCATGTCTTAGCTTGACAGCCCAAAACCTGATATTTTTAAAAACAAACTGTTTGAGAAGAGGAAATCTCCTTATACATACTAAGCAAAACCCATCTGATGTTTTTTTCTATTTTGTAATATATCTTCTGTAGATAATTTTGAAAAATTAGGTTTTACTTAGTACCCATTTTGAAAGGCCACTCTGAACACATTATCTGAAATTCACTCTGTTAGAGTTTCTTAAAAGATGTTGTTGTTGTTGTTATGTGCCGTCGAGTCGGATCTGACTCATAGCGACCCCTCCTTGGGTTTCTGAGGTGTTATCACTATGGAAGTAGATTGCCCAACCTTCCTTCTGAGGAGTGGCTGGTGGGTTTGAACTGCCAGCCTTCTGGTTAGCGGTCAGTCTTAAAAAGATAGATAATAAAAATATTAATGCAGAAATCAACATCACAAGACCATAACTTTGCAAACTTTTTCCCAAAATTTCTACTTATAATCAGAGATAGAAAGATGTAGCGTGTCAAAAGAAAAAGGATCTTGGAAAATTAAGATTTTAAGTTCCTCTATCAACTGATTTCTTGGAAAGATGGCTTGGAAAAAGAGGTATGATTTAGATAGCAGATTGCTTTTTAAATTTTTGCCAAAAATGGCAGTACAATATTTTCAAACAAATTTATAGCTTCCATATGTAGAGTGTTTCCTGGATCTATGCTATGTTTCACTATAAAATAATTTCAGTCATACACACACATACAAATTCTTTCTGTCCCAGAAATAGTGCTTGGATAGTATTAAAATATAGTTTCAAAGGACTAGAAAGAACTTTAGGAGGATATGCAAGTCCAACTTTGATATCAAGCTTCAACATTCCCTATTTTATAAATAGTGAATTGCTTGCTGGCCTATACTTTAAAATTTATTCTGAAGTCCCTATATATTTAAAAGGGGAAAATTTTATCCAAAGGGTGAATATTAATAATATTCATAATTGGGCTGTTTCTTTTAGCTCTGTAGGCTAAGTTTTTATTAATGTGCATAAATTTCCAAAAATATGTTATTAGCTTCAATATTTCCATATTTAATACTACTCTCTGATGAATAGCTACAGTATCTGTTGTTTGTGGATCTTTTATATGATTGTCTCTGATTTTATGTATTATATAAATTTGCTAATGTTTTCTGCATTCTGCTGGTTCCTCCCAGAAACTAAGTGCTATTCGAGATTACTTATTTTATGTCACATAATTTTATTTCTCCTTCCACATCACATAATCCTTCAGTTTTCTGTATACTAGTTTCATGGTTATTTTGATGTTAGCCATCTTTCTGACCTGTCAGGACCAGCAAGTATAAAATAGTAGCCATAGATTGCAAACCAGTGAGCTAATATTCAAGATTTCCAGTTAGATCATTGTTTTTAGGCATGCTGCTTTTAAAAGTATCAATATAATGCCAAGCCTCCTGATAAGTAAAGATACATAAAACATTGAGACATTTTATTTAGGCTAGTCAGTGATACTATACTGACATGACTTACTTTTAAGACATGTACTTTTAAAATTTTACGTGCATTAATTTTTTATTTTTCTTCATTTAATAATGTACTTTTTGAATAATAGAAGCCTGTACTTCATTATTTACTAACACTTTAGTAAATAATTTTTATAGTGAAGCTATTATATTAACCTCAGTTTTCCATTTCTGTCAAAGTGTGCACCCCCAGGGTAATTGTCACTTAGTATTTCTTTCAAGGTGTTATGAGTTATAAACACTAGCTAGCTTGGTGTATTTTTCCTTTTCTCTTTAGAAAACAAAAGTGTGAGAAGCAGCCTATCTACACTTTGTTGTTGTTGTTATGTGCCATCGAGTGGGACCTGACTCATAGTGACCCCTCCTTGGATTTCCAAGGCAGTATCACTACGGAAGTAGATTGCCCAACCTTCCTTCCGAGGAGTGGCTGGTGGGTTTGAACCGCCAGCCTTCTGGTTAGCAGTCAAGTGCCTTAGCCACTATGCTTTAGGGACTGAAATCCTTTTCTTCCTCCCCTCTTCAAGAGTCCTCCCCTCTCTCCAGCCCTTTTACCTATTGTACTTTGTTCCTCAGAAAATTTGGAGGGCCTTAGATCTTCAGAATTTTTTGGAATGTACCTACAAAATTCAGGTATTCCCTTAGGCCTGAAGACAAAATTTGTAGTAAGAAAGTCCTTCGAATTAGACATTTTTTCTTCTCTAGTTCTTCCTTCGTGTGATAACAAGGCTTAAACACATCTCTAAGCGTTTTCTTTCATGGGGAAAATAAAAACTTTTGAAGAGATGGTAGTTTTTTCTTGTTATTTTGTTTTTTAAAAAGTCAAGTGTCTGCCCAGAAACATAAAGCCTTCAAAGTAACCTGCTTCAAAGTTCTGGCATTTATTTTTCATCCCATTAACTACCATTGACAAGTTTTGTAACATTATCTCTAAATCCTTGTTTTTGATAGGTTTCAGAATGCACAAAAAGCAAGTTTTTCCTTTGGAAAATTCCAGACTAGAAATCAAACTATATTTTTCCTATCCCATTAATTCCTTAAACCTACCACTTGTCTTCTCTTTCAATCTGAGACGAATTCTCTGTCAACCCCCCTGAATATCTTCTTTCCAACTTTTTCTCCAAGTACCATATCCTTGTTTTTTGAATCAATAATAAAAGCTGAATAATAATGCTGACTTTGAGAAAGACCTTCCTTCATTCTGGCTCTTCCTTCCTCTGGCTACTTGCATTCTAAGGAACATCTGTTTTCTATTTCAGATAGAATTTCTCTAAGTTTTTGCAGACCCTAGAGAATGCCTACTAACCCAAAAGGCTTAGTCTAATTTGATAGAATTTTCAAAAGTATAATGTAACATGGAAAAATTCAGCAGTATGAAGAAAGATGTTCTGGCTTAAGGAATCCAACTTAAATACAGCTAACTCATACTTAAGAGTGTCATTCTTGGCTTTCACAGCTTCTTTCCTTCAATTTCTAAACTCATTGCTACTCTTAAAGTACCAAGTTTCTCACAATTTCCTAAAAAGAACAGTGAGCACTCCAAAATAATGAATAAAGAATGTACAGAGATAACTTTTGCTTAAACAGAGTATTTTATCCTTTAATCCTCTTTAACAATTCTTCTTTATATATATAATAAAAGGAAATTTTAGGTGATGATCAGGCAGAGAGTTACCTTTGTGACAAAATCCTAAAGATCATTTAAAACTAGGAAGGATATGTTAGTTGATATGCATCCTTTTGTATATATGTCTTATTCTTTATTTCAAAAAAACTATTCTGTTTGCTTAAAGGATTTCATAAGTGCAACCCTAGTAATAATGATATGTAGACATTTTATACTGCATCTGACAGACTCATATTCTCAAAGCATCTATTCTAAGCTATAAATTATTTCAGGTAATTTCT